TATATTCTTTTCTTGCCCCTTAAACTCCCAATCCTTTGACCTCTACAAAAAACTCCCAAATTTAGAAATCCCCCTTCCAATCAATTTCCACTCCCTCTTAACTCACTTTTCTTATAAATTAATTAAATGTCTATCAAAATTTATTAATGATAATGATATTAAACTGTGATGGTGTGTAATATTATAATTATGGTATATACGTATATGCCAGTTGTGTATGTCCTCTTATTTATCTTTATTATATAATGTAAAGTAGAAAAGTATAAAATAAGTAGATATAGTTTTACTAACCCATGTGTTGTCCTTTCAGCTACTAACAACAGACTACCACAAAGTTAAAGTTCGACGGGCCCATAAATCTGCCGTCACTACTTGACACTGGCAGTATAGTCGACAACATTAAATTGGAGACTCGGTTGCCATTCAAGAAAGAAAAAAAAAAAAATAGTTTTTATGTTTAGTGAAAACGTAGCATATGTGTTTTACAGACTATAATCTATATTTATGTCAAATTTTATTCAGATCCGTTCAGCTGTTTTTGAGTGAAAGATTAACAGACATCCAATCATATTTACAAACTTTCTCGTTTCTTATATTCGCTTCATTATACAGGGTGTCCGGCAAAGAATGGTTAACCTTTCATTGTCTTTAAGACAATCTTATGGCCATTCAGAAAATACACGAAAAATAAAAATCTTGCAAATTAATTTATTTTACACAAATTGTAGTAGTAGTAGTGTGTGTAGTGTACAATTTCATTCATTCGTCATTTTCTATTACCTTGCATGAAATTTCACTAGTTCTTCTACTTAAAGATATGACAACTTAGGTACTACTTATGATACTTTCCTTTTCGTTTATTTTTCTGAATGGCCATGCGATATACTAAAAGACATTTCAAAGTTATCCATTCTTTACCGGACCTGTATATACTATTTCAATTCCAATGACTAAGATGCTTCCTTTTACATTTAGATATACAGGAAGACAGTGAAACTGCCCGCCTCTTACTGCAAGACTCCTGCAGATGCTGCAAGGAAACCAGAAGATGTCCTTGACTATATACCGTGTAAGTTTTTAAACTCGTTTGTAATTTATAAACATTTTTTTGTTCTGTTCTTTTGGGTGTCGCACCTGCCATGACTTTTATTTGGTCTAAGGTAGACTGGAAAAACCGGCGAAAAACGTATCGGGCTACGCTCAGTGTAGGGTTCCGTAGCTTCCCGTCTGTCACAATAAGTATCCCTACATGAGAGTTATTATAAATCTTAAAACCACATTTCAGCATAAGTAGCAAAAGTACAGTGCCGTCGCGTTCGTATTAAATTAGGGAATTAGGTTACTCATTAATACAAATTAGACAGGTTGGAAATTTTGGATTTCGTAAACCGATATTAATAAGTAATGTTTCTTTTTTATTTGAAAGAAAAAATTCAGAATAATAAAATATATAATCAAAGTAAAAAATCTCAAGTTAGGGTTGAAATGAAATAAAATATCACTTACTTTGCGTGTAGGAGGGGTACGTAAAGACAGACAGACAGACAGACAGACATGGTGAAACCATAAGGTTCCTAGTTTACTACGGCACGTGACATAAAGTCCGCCATTCGTGTCGAAGCATGGCTCTCCCACACTTAATGTTACACAAAAACATAAGTATTATTTAGTTAAAATATTATGAATAAATTCTTTTTGTAGGTGAAATTTGGTCGGAAGTATTTAAATACACGAACCGTGCGGCGCTACAGGGCGTGCAGCGCCTGGCGTCCCGCCTGCTCGACCGCGAGCTGCGCGCCTACCGCAGCGGGCACTACGCGCTCGACGCGAGACTAGAGCCGCACACCTTGAACCATCTGCAGCCCACCAGCCTCGCCCGCGGACTCGTCGAATGTTTTAGGAAACAGGTAGGGCTTGTATATAGATAATACTTACTATAAAGACTTCTCGCACGCGTCGTGGTGGCCCGGAGTTTTCGAAACTTGGCAGTTTAAGCGTGGGATAGCCATGCTTCGGCATGAATGGGTCGACTCGATCGGAGTAATACAACGGCCTCACAGAAAACTGGCGTGAAACAACCACAGCGTTGTTTCGCCGTGTGTGTAAGATTACCGAAGGCCTAATCCTTCCCCTCCCTAAATCCCTCCCCAATCCCTAAATCTCCCAAATCCCTAATCCTCAAAAGGTTGGCAACACACTCGTAACTCCTCTGTTGTTGTTGCCATGTCCATGGGCAGCGCTGATTGCTTACCATCAGGTAATCTCTCTGCTTGTTTGCCGACCTATCACATAAAAAACCAATGTGACTTTTTGCGATTTATATGTACTTTATTATGATATTTTAAATACCACTGACAAAAGGTAAAGGAAAATATTGCAACTAAAGCAGGACTTATAATTTCTAATTATAGTCAAAGTCAAATAATTTATTCCAACTAAACTATAAATAGATACTGTAAGTTTTAAAAACATCAAAATAGAATAAGTCTGGTCGTCTGCGAATCTAGATTCAAGGACGAACGATTCGAGTGCGTTGCCGACCTTTTGGAGATTAGGATTTCAGGGGAGGGGGTAAAAGATGGGGCCTCCCCAAAAGGCCGACAACGGTCTTGTAAATCCTCTGGTGTTGAAGGTGTCTATGGGCGGCGCCAATAACTAACCTGATGGTTCCTTCCAACAGCATGTTTGGGAGCCATGCTTCGGCACGAATGGGTGGCTCGACCGGTGATACCACGGCCTCACAGAAAACCGGCTTGAAATAACCAAAGAGTTGTATTTCGCCGTGTGAGTGAGGTTACCGGAGGCCCAAACCTTCCCCTAACCCAATCCGTTCCCTTTCCCAAAATCTCCAATCCAAATCCCTAATTCTCAAAAGGTCGGCAACGCACTCGTAACTAATCCGTCGTTGCGAATGTCCATGGAAGACGCTGATTGCTTACCATCAGGTAATACGTTTGCACGTTTGCCGTCCTAACACGTAAAACAAAATATTTTACAATACAAACACATAACTTACATTTCAGATATAAGTAAACATATCTTTAATTTTCCTTCCCCAGGCTATATCTCCATCATACGAGTTTCCTGACGTGGTCCTTCTGTCGATGCTGCGAGCGCTGACGGCGGAATACCCGAAGCCACTACCTCCCTTCGACCTTTGCTTCTTGCCCGAGGTTCGTTTACTGATATTGTATAATCTTAACTTTAACTAAGTAGTATAGTGCATGCTGTGCTTACCTATAAGAGATTGTTACACAAGTATTGTATTATGATGAATGTATTTAATATTTTATCGTGTAAACAATTGTTGGTGAGCCAAATAAATAAAATAAATAAATAAATAAGACTACGTATGTGTGACTGCACGACTGGTGCGGTGGTTGGGCAACTGGCTGCCGTGCAACGTGTCGCGGGTTCGATTCCCGCACGGAACAACTCTTTGAGTTATCCACAAATTGTTGTTCCGCGTCTGGTTGTCATGTGTATGTGAAATTGTAGGTATATTTGTAACCACACCCACGACACACAAGGAAATCCTAGTGTGGGGCAACATGTCGCAGGTTCGATTTCTCTGGACTTCCACGAATAACTCAAGACCAAAATAAGCCATATCGGTAAAGGCATTATTGGGTTATAACATTATAACGAAAAGTGGCATTGATTTTTATGTTTATAAATGTATTTGTACGTGAGGTGTTCCACCGCGGCACGGACTGGCGACGCGGGTGTGTCACGCTGGCGGCACGACAGGCGCAGGTGTCGCAGTCTGCCAGGAGGATCCTCGAGAATTATCTGCAAGGGGTCACTGCGGGGACTGTTGAGGTAAGTAAACTATTCTGTCCCTTATTATTATTACCCCGTTTTTTTCTGTATTAGTTCGTTGGTAAAATACCAAACAGCCTGAAAAAAGAGTTGGTCAGCATTTTGAGTTGTTTCAAAAGTCAAAAGTCAAAAATTATTTATCTATTATTTACGTCATACAAAATTTTGTAGATATAGTGTCAGTCTGTCGGTCCTCTTAGTTATTTGCTCGTTACAAAGCTCGCTTCTTTTTTTTTAATAAATATTTGTTTCAATTAATGTGTTGCCAGTTAACTCACATAAACCTAAATTATATATGCTGGCAACCTTACTAGAAACTGTCGCCATGAGATTATTGCTTTATTTCTTAGCAATGGTTGTTTTAAATGTCACGATGAAGTGTTTTCCACTTTATCCCCAAAAGATATTTAAGCTACATCATAACCGTCACAGGTAGGGCCTATTAAGGCTGCAGCAGGGGTTGCGGGTAGGAGAAGGAATGTGGTAGGTTTTAGTCAGTAAGAGTCTGACACTCCCTCTCCAGGGTGGGAGAAGTGAAACAATGAAATAATGAAACAATGAATTTATTTTTGTAAATAGGCTATAAAGCAGCACTTTTACACGTCAAAATTATATGTAAAAAACTAGATGAAGCCGGCATTTCCTATCTGACTACTCTAAAAGGAAATGCCGAAACAAACTCAGGGATGTGAAAAATAATATACATAATATACGAGAACCGTGCAAGTTCATTCTGTAGTGGTCTTTTGAGGAAAGAACCACACCAGTTTAAGTGGACCCGTTCTAAAGAAAGCCACGCAAATGTCAGTTTACAGCCAGTTAAATGAACGGGTTGCTGAGTTGTCCGACGAACAATACCGATCAAAAGAACATTTGGGTGGGTCGCGCAAATACTTAAACTGTCAAAACATAGACAACTATCATCGAAAAGCGCGGCAAAGTCTCACACAGTCCTTACACTAGACACTAGTAATTTAATGAGTGCTCTTAAAACAAGGCTACATCATAACAATATAAATAAAATTAACTGGTTAATAAACCCTTTTTTTCCCCAGGAAACAGATGTCATTCTTATCTTCGAAATCCTACCGATTTTATGCCGAGGAATGCCACCGAATGCTCTCCGACCACCCTTAGAAAGGTGCCTAGCTGACTCCTTCGCTGAAATATCTCATGTCAAAGTCAAATCTAAGGGAGAGGACAAAGAGTACCTGTTTTTGAAGCAGATGGAGTGTATCCGTCTGTGCTTAGAATGTGATAAGATACACGATGCCAACAGAACATTGCTGTCTCAAATCGTCGAGCATTACTTTTCGGAAATCAGTGATGATAACGTTGTAAGTATTATTTTTTAATTGTTCAAATTGACGAGTAGTACCGCCAGTTTACCGCCAGGATCGTTAGTGTAGCATAAGGTTTTAGCGATCTCGGCTATCGTAGAGAGCTAATATAGTCCACCAGAGTCGGGAACACGGGGGTTTAAGGTCGTGGTCCTCATTAATATATTAGTTAACTCAATCTTGAGGGGCGGCATACAATTTTTGACAAAATTATTGAATAAATATGACCAGAAAATATAAAATGTTAGTCGTAAGTAGTAAATATCATTAATTTAACCAAAATATGCATAAATAATACAACCGTTCTTTACAAATATGCAGCAGAAGAATTTAATTCCGTTTCCCCAATTCATCTAAGGTAACGGAATGTTTTGGAAGGCTAAAAATGAACTGATTGCACGAAAGAACAGAATTATCAATTGCAATTCTATAATTCAAATAAGTAAGTGAGTGCCCGTATTATTTCATTTAAATCATGTTTCCCAGGCGTGGCCCACATACGTGAGTACATGTCGCAGCCTGTCCAGTAAGTACCTGGAGCGCATGTCGTCCCCCAGCGGGTGGTGGGAGGTGTCCCCCGCCCTACTCCGTAAGGCGGCCTCCGTCCGCGCCGCGCTGGCCGCGCTCACTGACTGCGCCGCGCCGCTCAACTGGCTCAACGACATCATTGATGCACAGGCTAACGAGATCACGTAAGTCCTTCATTGTATAACCCTTAGTCACTTCCTAGTAGACCTATAATTAGCAGTAGACGTCTTATGCTATAGGCAATAATATAAATCTTTCCATTTTCCTTTCAGAAACCTAATTTTCGCCCGTGCCACTTAAAGTAACTAAAATAATGTTGACTTAATCAAAATATTCTAAAAGCGATTACAGCGCCATTGACATAAAAAACATAATCATTTATTGCATGAAAAAAGTACATAAGATTCGTTGTTATGTATAGCATCTCTTAATCTGCCCCCAATTCGGGTAAGCAAAATTGTTTTAAAGTAATAATCATCGTCAGAATTATTTTAAAATAATAATAAATAAAAAGAAAAAATTTCATTACATCCATATTTATACTAATATTATAAAGCTGCAGAGTTTGTTTGCAACGCGCAGGCAGTCAGCCAGATACAAAAATAAAAAAGACTTACTATAACTTATAATCTAGAAATTCATGGATTCATGAATAAAAGTTCAAGGTTCATAGCTCAAGGAGGACATTCTTCAAGACGTTTAAAGTTAAAAAAACTAAGGGTAAAATATAAGGTCTGTAACGGTGAATGATTAACCAGGAAAAATAAAATTTAGGTCGTATCAGTAAAAGAGACTGTATTCCCAACAAAAGCAAAGTTACAATTAATTAAAAAACGATGTGGGTAACTTCATGCGAAGACACCCGCACAAAAGGCGCCTGATGTAATATTAAAGCACTCGAACATGATAAGACGTAAGGGATTGTGATTTCTATCAGGCGTTAATGTTGGATTCTGAACATGCCCGCGGGCGTTGAAAGGTCATCTTTCAACACGAATCTTCATCTACTGGCAGTGGGCATATCTTGCTGCATGCGCGCCGAATAGTTCCACTGGCAGTTCTTATGTCAGCCACACGACTAATTCCATCACGTCCCGGATATACTGCTGCGATGCGGCCAAGTCGCCATTTAAGTGGTGGTAAATTGTCTTCTTTTATGACAACAAGGCGATTAATTCCCACAGTAGCCTTTGAAGATCTCCACTTGGTTCGCTGCTGTAGTTCCGAGATATATTCTTTATTCCACCTCGACCAGAAGTGCTGACGTAAAGCCTCGATTCTCTCATATCTCTTCAAGTGCGTGATAGAGGTAGCGTCATAAGACGGAGCAGGCAAGGACGTTAATGTTCGCCCTATCAGGAAATGCCCTGGAGTCAGCGGCAAAAGGTCATTAGGGTCCGATGACAACGGCGTAAGCGGGCGTGAGTTAAGGAGGGCTTCAATTTGAACCAGTGCAGTATATAATTCTTCGTAAGTTAAATGACAATTTCCCATTACTCTCTTTAAATGATATTTCACAGATTTTATACCTGCCTCCCAAAGACCACCGAAATGTGGAGCATAAGGAGGAATAAAATTGAAGGTAATTCCTTCAGAGGCAATGTCACCCGACAGCGAACTGCTATTATCCCTCAAAAACTTCCCTAGTTCGTTAAAAGCGCCTACAAACGAGGTCCCGTTGTCAGAATAAATACGCGACGGCTTACCTCTGCGTGACATAAACCGGCGAAGTGCCGACAAATAATTATGACTGGTTAAGTCACCAACCAACTCAATATGAACTGCCTTTGTCGTGAAACAAACAAATAGTAAAATGTAAACCTTTACAAGTCGACATCCACGACCTTGTCGCGAAGCTGACAGTATGGGTCCAGCGTAATCAACCCCAACACATTCGAATGGATGACTACCAGACGCCAGCCGTCGCTCAGGTAAGTGTCCCATGATAGGAGTAAATGGTTTAGCTGTGACACGACTGCAAACAATGCAACGATGATAACATGATTTAGCTAAGTTGCGCCCACCTATTGGCCAGTAAGTATCTCTAATACAAGCCAATAATAATTGCGGTCCTGCATGCATTAAACTTTTGTGAGTAAATTCAAATAATAATTTAGAAAATCGATGAGTGGACTGTATAACTAACGGATGTTTTTTCTCATATGAAAATGTAGAATTTTGTAAGCGACCGCCTACACGCATTAATTTATTTTCATCCAAAAATACATTTAACTTATTTAGTGGACTACCTTTCGGTAAGTTCTCACCTTTCAATAATAACTGATATTCCGGAAATGATTCTATTTGAGACTGTTTTACAATTATATTTAAAGCGTTTTGTAAATCATCTTCATTCAGGTGTAAAGTAGTCGATGATTGTTTTTTACAATTATTAATAAATCGTAGCATGTATGCTATGGTGCGGTTAAGCCGCAAAAAGTTTGAAAAGCGGTGAAATTCAATGAATGACTTTGAAGTATCAGAAACAGTTAACAAAGAAATCTCAGATTTAATTTCGGGAAGCGGTTCTACTGAAGTCGGAAATGAAGGCCATTCACGTGTATCTTTGAGTAAAAAGTTAGGGCCTGACCACCATAAATCAAGATTCTGAATTTGACTAACATCAGTACCCCGGGATATAAGATCAGCGGGATTGAGGTGTGTAGGAACATGTCTCCAGGCGCAATTGCCAGCATTAGATTTTTCAACTATTTCTGATACACGATTACGTACAAATGCTTGTAATTTACCTGGAATCATTTTTAACCACCCCAGCACTATTGTAGAATCACTCCAAAATACACAGCTGTTAATTGGTGCATTAAGTGAGTCAACCACCTTTCTATGTAACCGCACACCCACCAAGGCGGCGCAGAGCTCGAGTCGAGGAATGGTGATTGGCTTGATAGGAGCAACCCTACTTTTCGCCGTGAGCAACCGCACTGAAACTTCATTATTATTATTAATACTCCTTACATATATGCAAGCACCATAAGCAATTTGTGACGCATCACAAAATATATGTAAATCTACCACTTTCCACGAGTTACAAAAAACTAAACGGATCCCCCGTTTAGTTTTTTGTAAGCGTAAGTTATTTAAGATAGGTAACCGTTCAATGATATTAGACCATGTTTTAGCGACATCTGGTGGTAAGAAGTCATCCCATGAAAGTTTGTGTAACCACAGTCTTTGCATCATTACCTTCATAGGTATGATACAAGGTGCTAATAGGCCCAAAGGGTCGAATATTTGAGATATAACCGACAACACTTCACGTTTTGTGACATTTTCTGTTATCGACATTGCACTTATTGAATAAAGAAGCGTATCGGAGCTTGTTAGCCAGTTCAAACCTAATGTTTTACTTGGCTCATTAGAACCAATATTTAAATTAACAAATGAATTCGAATCTTGATCTGACATAATAAAGTTATAGTTAGATTTCCACTTTCTTAGTGGCATTTTGGCTGAATCCAATTCAGCAGTGATTTTCTCGCGAATACTTGTGACGTCAGATATTGTATCCCCGCCGGTCAGCAAGTCATCTACGTAGAAGTCGTGCATGATGATGTTGGCAATTCTTTCATCCTTACAATCCAAGCCGATTTGCTTCAAACAACGAGTGGCTAAAAAAGGTGCACTTGCTGTGCCATATGTTACCGTGTTTAGTTCGTAAATTTTAATAGACTCTGAGGGATTGTCACGCCACAATATTCGTTGCAAATATCTATCATCAGGGTGAACAGCTACCTGACGGTACATTTTTTCTACGTCAGCAGAAATTATGTATTGGTGTTTTCTAAACCTCAGAAGGATAGACATTAAGTCATCCTGAACAACTGGACCTACCATTTGGAGATTGTTAGACGAAATCCCTGACGTGGTGAGACTGCTGGCATTAAAAACTACTCTTAGCTTTGTAGTTATGCTAGATTCCCGGAGAACACCATGGTGGGGAATAAAATATGACAGTTGTTTTGGATCGACTGTACATTCAGACATGTGACCTAATGAACTGTATTCTTTCATGAAATCACAGTAAAGCGTTTTTAAAGCTGGCTGCTTATTGAACCTGCGTTCAATAGATGAGAGACAATGTTTAGCTCTAGCCAATGAGTCGCCCAGCAGATGAGGTGATTGTTTGAGTGGTATCCGCACACAAAACCGACCATCCGAAAGTCGAGTTGTATTTAGTACAAAATGTTCTTCACACTTAGCTTCCTCCTCTGAATAAGAAGATGACTGATGGGTAACTTCTTCTAAATCCCAAAAACGCGCTAAGTGGTTTTGAATGTCATCTTCATTTGTGGGAGTGAGTAGAGAACTGACATGAATGTTTGCTATGTTCGCTTTATGAGTTGTTGGTGAAACCGCTACTTGGCCGCTATAACTCAAGGGACCTGAAACTAGCCACCCTAGCCTAGATTCAAATAGTATTGGTTTACCCTCACCTAAATAGATTTTTTGCCTCCCCAGTAGGTCCCAGAACACATCTGCTCCTATTATTAAATCCACCGTTGATGGCGTGTGGAAATGGGGATCGGCTAAACAAATATCACTCGGTATATTTAAATTGTTAATTAGTAACTTATGACACGGTACTTCATCCGTAATAGACGGTAATATAAAACAATAAAGATTAGTGGAAAAATTCTCACTTAGTGATTTAATAAAAATACTGCACATTTTACTAATATTTGATTTTGAATTGTTAATTCCCTGAATAGACTCATTTACTCGAACCGTGGGTAAATTTAGCAAATCACATAATTTCTTAGTCATCAGACAAGAAGTACTGCCCGTGTCCAATATGGCTCGAGCGAGATGCTCGCGGTTATTATTATCATAAATTTTCACTAATGCAGTCGCTAACAGGACTTGACCTTTACTTTTATTACCAATATAAGTTGTAGTTAGTGCAGATAGTGTAACATTTGTATCATTTTTACTTTCTATTGACTTGTTGCCTGGAGCAAAAGTGTTGTCAGATTGTGAAGTAGGCGCATTAGATTTATGAGAAGCGCCAACAACATGAATCAGCGTATTGTGCTTACGCCGACATACCTTGCACCCATGAGACTTGCAATGATTTGCATAGTGACCAGATTGAAAGCAATTAAAGCATACCTTGTATTGCGGCAGTAGTTCAAGTCGTTTCTCGTTGGTCATACCAAGAAACTGTGGACAGGTTATTAAATTGTGCTTGTCACTACAATGGGGGCATGACACCTGTGATGAACTATTGTTATTTTTAGTTTTCTGTGATGGTGTTCCACTGCTTAGAGATATCATTGTTCTGTGCTTAGACTGAGAGGCATTATTGTTAATTTTAGACTGACTGCGTGACAAATCCAATGTTTCAAGCAAATCGGCACGATTTCTTAAGAATGTAAGGAACATTTCTAAAGTTATTGATTTATTTTTATCTAAATGACCTTTTTCTTCTTCCCACTCACGATATGTTCTCGTATCTAATTTATGAGTGACTATATAAATTAATAAAGTATCCCAAAATTTTGTTGGTTCGCCCAACGACTCCAGCGCACGTAGATTTTTATTTAAACTATCAATGATACGTTTTATGCTATCCGAGGATTCTTTGCTAACCGTTTCAATGTTAAATAGGGCTGACACATGGTTCTGAATTAGTAACCGCTTATTATCGAACCTTTCATTTAATAAATCCCACGCAATGGAATAATTGTCAGCAGAGAATTCAATCGACTGTATGACTACGGCTGCTGTCCCCTCCAAGGAAGCACGGAGGTAATGGAACTTGTTAATTTTGTCTATTTGATCGTTCAAATGTATCAAGCTTGAAAATGTGTCGCGAAACTCTAACCATTTGTCATATGTTCCATTAAATTTGGGCAGTTGGATGGTAGGTAGCTTAACCAGTCTATTATTGCTAATACGAGACAACTTATCTTCACTAATGATGTCATCTTGTTTAGCGATCAAGCTTTGCGCTCTGGCAACAAGCTTGTAATAAATCGACTCAAAATCATTACGTTCTGATATTTGTGAATTAATATCCTCAGCTATACACTCTAACCTTAACTGAATCTCGTCATATTGCGAATAAAGAAGTTCAATCTTACCGAGGCGTAACTGCAGTTCGTTGATCTGGGTTTGCGTTAAAGTATCGTTTAAATCCTCTAAATAATTAGAAAATACCGTTAATCGGCCTTTGTAACTTGCACGTTTTTTAATGAGCTCCTTCTCTTCCTTCTCGGTCATTGTTTGGGAAGCAGGCAACTAACTGGAATGTTACAAAGTTTAAATTAAAACTATTATACTTCTATAATAATACTCAATTGGTTGAACCGTACTACAAATACAATTTAAGGTAATCAATGCTAAACAAAATCTCACAAAAACCAGTTATGCATACATACCGGTATTACACATAATATGTTAATTATCTAAAGTGGGTAAGTAATTATTTCAACAATATCAATGATTCTAACAATAAGAATATAAATAATCGTTATCACTATCCGCAAATTACTGCACAACTACAGGATTAAATTATTTTGATGATAGGAATACAAAGTAACTAATAATTTGGCTGGCACTTATTATGTATGATTTCTTATAACATCTAATGCAAGATAACAAAGGAAACTTTTTAAAAATAATGGCTAACTTTAATTGAAGCCTAGTTTGCTGCTTAATTATCCTTACTTAATAGATTAGAATACCAGAAATAATAACAATGTCCTGGCAATTTGAATGAAATCACACATGTGCAAAAGAACAAAGAACTTTGATACCAATAGATACTAACCTTCACAATTCCATAAAATCATTAAATACTACCTGAATGATCGTAATGGGTTTACAAATAATGCAAATACTGACGCTGCACTGGCCAAATATCCTTAAAGTCCTTGAATATCCTTTTTCTTGCGTGGATGCCCTTTGACCTTAGCCAGCTACTCACGTATTTCCAAACGGTAGTATCTTTCAATTATTTCCAATTATTTTTCCTGTATTTTTCTTGTAACTGATTCCTTTATCCAGCTCGTATGGACCAATTTATGTAACGGTGAATGATTAACCAGGAAAAATAAAATTTAGGTCGTATCAGTAAAAGAGACTGTATTCCCAACAAAAGCAAAGTTACAATTAATTAAAAAACGATGTGGGTAACTTCATGCGAAGACACCCGCACAAAAGGCGCCTGATGTAATATTAAAGCACTCGAACATGATAAGACGTAAGGGATTGTGATTTCTATCAGGCGTTAATGTTGGATTCTGAACAAGGTCCTTGTTTTTAGCAAAAATGTTGTGATCAAAATAATCCAATATCATCATTATCGCCTTGCCAAATAAATGTGTTTGCAACTGGCTGCGGCGCAACGTGTCGCAGATTCCCGCACGGAACAACTCTTTGTTTGATCCACAAATTGTTGTCCCAGGTCTGGGTGTAGTGTGTATGTGAAATTGTATGTTTGTAAACTCACCCACGACACAAGAGAAAATCCTAGTGTAAGGCAACGTTTAAAAAAATCCTTATAGATCAAACAAAGATTAACTTACATGTATATATTTAGTAAGTAAGACTCCGATTACAATTTTAATCTTGTATTGCAGCGAGCAGGAGTTCTCGTTACGCTGCATGATGCCGGCCCTGCAGGCAGTGGACCCTGACTCCGCGGCCACCAGGGAATGGTTCCTGCAGCTCATGGGCCGAACGCAGGTCGCATTCAACGAGTAAGAAACTTCTAGATTTATTATAACTAACCTAACTAAGTGTTAGAGAGCTATGCTTCAACACGAATGGGTCGGCTCGACCGGAGTGATACCACGGCCTCACAGAATACCGGCGTGAAACAACGACCGCGTTGTGTTTCACCGTGTGAGTGAGGTTACCTGAGTCCCAATCCTTCCCCTCCCCCAATATCTCCAATCCCTAATCCCCAAAAGGCCGACAACGCACTCGTAACTCCTCTGTTACGGATGTCCATGGGCGGCGCTGATTGCTTACCATCAAGTAATCCGTCTGCTCTTTGCCGACCTATTACATTAAAAAACACATACATACCGTGGGCAAATGTACTAATAATTGCAATTTTGTAAACCTCATATATCAGACTTCTGATTTTTGGGGGAGATTTGTTAGTGCAATCAATAACGTACCGCAGCCCCAGCTCGGAGTAGGAATGTGGTGGTTTTTTTGGCCTCACTTGTCTGCTGGTTGTAGTTGGGCGGCAAGCTGCTTTACCTCGCCGTCGCGTCGCGTCGTCATGGCACGGGTTCGATTCCCGCGCGGTTTTTTTTTGTCATCATCATCATCAGCCTATAAGTGCCCACTGCTGAGCAAAGGCCTCTTCTCATACGGAGAAGGTTAGAGCATTAATCACCACGCTTGCTCAATGCGGGTTGGCGTGTTTGTTGAATGTTTTCCTTTACTGTATGTTAGTGGTGTCTAAATAATCATAGAAAGTACATATAACTCGGAAAAAGTCACATTGGTACTTGCCAGGTTTCGAACCCACACATGAGAAGTTCATGCATGAGAAACGGGCTCCTTAACCTCCGGGCCACACGATTTTTTTTTGTGTGATCTACAATTTGTTGGTCTGTTTTTTATGTTTGTTAACGCTCCCACGATATAGAAGCAAATCTTAATGGGGTACTTAAGGAGGAGGACCTTTTAAAGAAAAAAAATATTACCTTAAATATGTATGTAGTACACAAGTGTCTTTGTTGGGGTTTATAGTCAGTAAGAGTCTGACACTTGTGTGAGAGAAGTCATTTGATGATTTTCCCCTCAAAAACAAAAGTATGTTTGATTTCAGGACAGAGGATAAGTCAGCGAAGCTGTACCTGGGTGACGTGTTGATGCTGTGCGTCATAGTGTTCAGCGGCGTCAGTGCAGCGGCGGGCGCGCCGGGGGCGGAGCCCTGCGCTGCCGGCGCCGCCGGGGGCAGGCCCGCGCGACGCGACCTCCTGCCGCCCGCCGTCGCCGTCCTGCTGGCCCGACCTGCCTGGGAGACATGCTCGCTGCAGGTCATCATTTTATAATATTTTTTAACTTTGTTATTGTTGGTGTCTGTAAGACAAATTGCACTACTTATCGTTTTAGTGGAATATATTTTTTTATAAATTCACGTAAGTACGTATAAAACACGTAGTAATCTGTGACGTAGCACCTAATTAGGCAGCCTTGCTACGTGTCGCTGGTTTGATTCCTGCGTAGATCAATACTTAGTATCTTCCACATTCAGTTTATAGCTCTTTTCCTAAATGTGATATCATAACACACATGAATAACCAGAAGGACCACGTTTCAAAAAAGATACTATTTTTTTGATTAGACTATTAGTTGTACAGATGGACAAACTAATCATTTTAAGTTCTTTTTTATGTGATAGATCGGCCAATTAGCATACAAATTACCTTAGCAATCAGCGTTGCTGGTTTTAGAGATTTAAGAAATGAGGAGGGATGGGGTTTGGGAGGGGAAGGATTGGGCCTCCAATACCCTCACTTACACGGCGAAACAAACGTAACTTCAGATGGATGATAGATCGGCTCGTCCGGAGCTGTTTCGCCGTGTTACTGTAGGTTACCGAAGGCCCAATCTTTCCCCCCCATCCTCAATCCTCAAATCGCCTAGCCTCAAATCTCCGGTAGTCCACAAGAGAGTAGGAACGCATTTTCAGTAACTCCTTTGGTGTTACGAGGTTTCATGGGCGATGCCGATTGCAATTGCAATCAGCGCCATCCATGGGCACCCGCATCACCCAAAGGAGTAACGTAGTAGTGCGTTGCCGGTCTTTTAGGGATTAAGGTTTCGGATATTTAAGGATTAGGAAAGAATTGGTTATTAACGTTTTAAATTTAATTAGCTGCTGGAATGGTTATGCCACTCCCGCGCGGCGCTGGGCCCGGGCGCGGCGGCGGCCTGTCAGCGCGCCTTGCTGGCCGCGCGCTGCGCCCCGCCATTCGCCACGCACCATATCTGGACGCGATTGTGAGTAAAATATTTTCTTAGTTACAATAAATTTTCCTGCTCGTTATTTCCCATAGGAATCTACATATTGAAAAAATCACTCAGCTTCACTGAGGCCTATTTAACTTAGAACTCTAAAGAAAGATCTTCTAAAAGATTGATCTTAATAAATGCCAAAAATATAGATTTCTTACCTATAAACACATTTATCGTATATACAAGCATTTTTATATTACAACAGTTTTGGGACACATTAAGTTAACTATTATTATATTTGACGGCCTATAACTGTTTGTCAAGGTAACCCGATTAGTTTCAAACTGTGCTAGGGGCCTATAAGTAAATCTTCTTGTACTTTAACCTCCGTTTTGTTTCAGGGAAAGTCACTTCGGCCATGAAGTTATCATGGACGAATAAATATGATACAATATGTCAATAGTAAGCGTGTATGTAATCGACTGAATAAATATACACTACTTAATATTATAAATGCGAAAGTTAGTGAGAATGTATCGATGTATGTTTGTTATTCTTTCACGCAAAAACGGCTGGACCGATTTTGTTGAAATTTGGTATGCAAATAGGAGATGACCTAGACACAAAGGCTAGGCTCCTTTTTATCAACATACCACGCGGGCGAAGCCGCCGGCGGAAGCTATAGTACATTTATATCATGACGAATTATAATATGATTATAATCTAGTCAAACAAACTGAATTTTCAAATTTATGACTGTTTTTATTTTTATTTTAATAACTTTAAATCGTATCTTAAAAAAAAAGAGTAACGATGGAGTTTCTTGCCCGTTCTTCGCCATTCGAATCTACTGTTTGTGACGAGCACCTAGCTTCACTGACTGTAATGACTGACAGACTATATATTATTCTGTTGGACATTTTCCCCTTATCCAACCCTAATCCCTAAATCTCCGCAACCCTTATCACCAAAAGACTAGCCAAAAGCACTCGTTACTCCTCTGGTGTTACAAGTGTCCATCGGCGGCGCCGATTACTTACCATTAAGTAAAGCGTAAGCTCGTTTGCCGGCCTATGACATAAGAAAAATAAGAAAGAAAAAATATTTACTGGGATTATTAGATAAGAAATAGCCTCCAGGTAAAGCTATGGCGGGATGCTTAAAGATGCGTAATCTAAATACAAACTAATAAGTATTATAAATGTGAAAGTAACTCTGCCTGTCTGTCTGTCTTTTCTTCACGCCTTAACTACTGAACCAATTTCTGTGAAAATGGTACAACAAGTTTGGAACACGAGAAAGGATATAGAATAGTTTTTATACCACAAAATTGGCTAAAGTCACTATTCCACGCGAACGAAGTCGCCGGCAAAAGCTAGTTAAATTATACGTAGCAATATAGCGTCCAGTACTAAATAAAGGTCTTATGTAAAATTACATACTTACATACGTCATACATTTGAGAATTCAGTTTGAATAGGCTCATAATGTTATTTTTATAAATGTTAATTGTAAAACTGCAAATTGTTATACATTTATCTGTATTGTACTGTAAGATTTGTTTGTAATAAATAACGCTTTGAGCAGATCTATTGCGTTTTATTATAAATATTTAAGTATGTTCTTTACATTACTACTTTAATCAATGCACTGCCGTACAACGCGTTGCGATACCGACACGAAATTTCTCTATATACAGTATAATACAAAGTCGCTTTCTCTGTCCATATATCCCTATGTATGCTTAAACTTTTAAAACAACCCAACGGATTATGATGCAGTTGTTTTAAATAGGCAAAGTGATAAAAAAGGAAGGTTTATATGTCCTTAATATCCATTAAATAGTGGAGAAATTTTGTATTAGCATTGCACCCGTGCGAAGAAGCAGAGAAGAAGTTTTTAGCTCGTTCTTCTCCATCGGAATCTACACTTTGGAACGAGCAAATAGCTTCACTAAGAGGACTGACCGACAGACTGACACTATATCTTCAAAATTTTGTTTTACGTTCAAAAGTGCCTGTAAAGGTCTAATTGGAATAAATGATTTTTGACTTTTGACTAGAAGCCGAGAGGGTCGCTAGTTCAATAAATACATTCTTGTTCCGGGTCGGGGTGGTACGTATGTAAAATTGCACGTTTGTACGAACCCATGACACAGGAGAACCCCAGAGGGGCAACGTTTAACAAAACGAATTAAGAGTGTATACAGCTTAGCACAGATAGTCTTTCAAACTTTTTTATTGTTTATACAAAATGTCTGCTCATTCTGTTGAAGATATCTCCATCACCCTTGCATTCCCAAAGGCATACTCTACCAGTAAACCACTGCTAGAGAATGCCTTTGGGCATTATCGATATCCGCAAAGGGAATGACAGTGGTTGGACGCGAAGACTTCCAGATCGAGCAATATGACCAGAAGTAGATTGAACTGATGACCTAGTGCGCGATACGGTTATGACGTTCAGCAATCTAATTTGCCGGATCCAACCAATCAGAGGGCTTATCGAAATAATAAATTACTTCGATCGCGTTAACCTATAGAAAATATGCAGAACAGGCTCTCAGATCGTAGTTTTGATGTAAGTATGTGCATATGTCTATGGAACCTGCTTAAGTTAGTATCAAAGACTGACCTCTGACTTTAGAGGCATTTCTTCTCAGAGTAGATAGGAAATGCCGGCTTCGTCTTCATCTAGTTTTTCACATATTATAAATTGTCGTGCAAAAGTGCAGTTTTATTTGTTACTTTGTTTTGCAAAAATAAAATAAAAGACTAGGTAGCTTATAAAACAACTTTCTTAGGCATTGTAAAAAAAATATAAACCTATTTTTTTTTTATTAGCGAATTTTAGATATCTATGCTAGGTACCAAAACTCAAGGATCATACTCGTAAAGCTATTAAGGAGAAGGTAACAGACGAATTTTTATTTAATGAAAGTTTTAGTCTTTTACTCCAGACAAAAACTGTTAAAAGCTAATTTTATCATATCAGACGATTTTATCATACCATTCAAAATCAGCTTATTCTTTTTTGAATTTCCACTGCGCGGTAGCGGCTCGTTATTCTTTTTTTTTTTAGGTAATGATTTTCCTATCAATGCCTCATCTCCATAAAGAAGTCTCAAGGCGACGACTGCCCATACTTATTCAGTACGGGTCAAAGTTAATAAACGAAAAGAAATTTATCAAGCCTACGTACCTACATTGATAAATATCTGTGCATCGGCTTTCTGAGACAGCAGTGTACAAGCGTATTCGAACATACACATACGGTGATTCTAACATTTTATTTTGTTTAAATTTTATTTGAATTTTTAAATATACCGACGTTTTATAAGCTGTGGATCTTGCATCGTTTTGTTTTTATGTTATAGCTGCTACAAAAATGGCGACTCTGCTCCGAAAATCACTGTCTTACAATCAGTATCGAAGACTCCATAAAATAGCAGTGGGCCACACTGTACCCTTGACTTTCAACCAGTATGAGCATCAGCAGAAATTCCGTGAAGTTCAGGCCGAGATCGTTGGCTCTTTAATGTCTAGCCCCAAGTTCAAAGACCAGCTGGAAGATGTTGAAGCCTGGATGACCAAGGTAAGTACTTGATTAAAATGTAGGTAAATCAATAACCTGATTTCTCATTACTCAAAATGTAGGTATGCTGTGTGGTTAAACTTATTTTCCTGTTTCATAAAGATTTTCTATGTAAATCTCACTGCTCATAAAGTTTCAATGCAAGCAAACAAGATTACGTGAGATCGATAGTCTGTTGAATGTCGTATAAAAAAGCCACGAAGGATTTAGTTTTTTTTTATTGCTCTCATACAGCATATCATCAGCCTACAAGTGCCCACTGCTGAGCAAAAGCATCTTCTCACACGAAAGTTAGTACCTATTAATCAATACCCTTGATCACATATTTTTTTCTAGTTGTTAGATTATGCTCTGGCTGGAGGTAAAAGGGGCAGAGGTCTGGCAGTGCCCTTCGCGTACCGAATGATGGAGGATCCAGAACACTTCACAGAAGACAATCACCATAAAGCGCGGGTCATGGGATGGGTTCTAGAAATGGTACGTATTATAATTACATAGGTATGAGGTATATAGGTATCTGTTCCTAGTAACTATTTATTTTCGACAACAACAACACATTTTCCTAATTATTTTGAATTGGGAATTAGATATGTTCTTTATTTAAACTTTCGCTGAGACCAAAAGCAGCCAGATACAAAAAGTATAGCCAAAGAGATTTTATTACTAGTCCATACATGGTGTAATGCCAAAAGATTTTTCACAGTCTACTATGTTTTACATAAAAAATATAGAAGTACCTAAATCGACGTTTTCTTCGTGTTTATTTTATCAGTCTCTTTTGATCGATTCCACGCTTCCATTAGGGGAAGGTATAGCCATCATTTGCGTGGGAGAGCCGTACAATATGGGACGAATGGGCTGGCTCGACCGGAATGATACATTACAAACAACCGGCGTGAAACAAAGGTTGCATTGTGTTTCGCTGTATGGGTGACATTACCGCATTTTTGGGCCTTCTAACTGGCGTCCAGTTTCTGTCTCGGAGGCGTGGCAATGGTCTTGCAAGCATGGCAAGCGGTTCAATTGTTTGGACGAACGAGGCAAAAATATTAATTGTTTATAGGACAATACAAATCTATTCAGTTCACACCAAAAAGTTCTTTTAACTTTTCTGGTATCCATGGAAGATGCTGTTCAACTAGAATCAGATGATCCAATCGCTCGTTCGCCGTCTATTCTTGAGTCCAACAAGATCTATGTCACGTTTTTGGCTTTTAAGTCGTGTCTGCTATACTAATATTGCTATTTTTTACAGTTACACTCCTATTTATTCACGGTCGACGATATAATGGACGCATCGAAGACTCGTCGCGGCCAAAAGTGTTGGTATCTACGCGAGGACGTTGGGATGGGAGCTCTGAACGACAGCGGACTAATATTCACCAGCGCATTTGAAATACTCGAACAGAATTTCGGAGACGACCCCCTTTATGGCGACCTAGTTAGGATCTGTAATGGGGTTTGTTGTTTTTATTTATTTCTTTTACAATTCACGTATGTACAAGTTAGGAAATGCTGAGTTTTACCACGACATGTGGAATGATACCACAGCTTTACAGACGACCGGCGTGAAACAATACTATCATTGTAAATTAACCGCGTCGCGTGTGTGCTTATGTAAAGGCACATTCTTTGCCGGAGTCTGTGTTCCCCAAAGAGCTTACCTGGGTGTCTTCAAGGCCCAAGTGAGGTTGCTTAAATGGGTAGGCATGCTCCATCGTAGGTCACATTATCGTTCACCACCAGGCGTGATAGCGGCCAAACCCATGTGTGCGGTATATACCCATTTCGAAATAAAAAAGATGCACCCGTAGCTTGTATTTTTTAATGTTGTATTTTTCGATCACTAGGCAATGATGCACACATGCATAGGTCAGCATTTGGACTTTGCATCCAACTATAGGAAGGAGAAGAACAACCTGGACACGTTTACAGTAGAACGGTTCGACGCCATCGCTCTTCAGAAGACCGCCGTCTACTCCTTCAAGTTCCCCATGAACTTGGCAATGACCTTGATTAAGGGGAAGAATCAGAATTTACATCAAATCGAAGAAGTACACACTATTTGTTGGGATATGGGCAAACTTTTACAGTTACAGGTAAGGGATAAATAAATTATTTTTATTAAATTCTATGCAAAAATTTTGGTCTATAGGTACGTGCCTAGATCTTCATATTCCTACAATGTATAAGACTCGCACACCTAGCTTCACTGACGAACTGACTGACAGACTATTCTTCTGTTTTGACGTTTCAAAAGTACCTTTTTGTGGTTTCACATCATATCACATCATCAGCCTTTGCCCTACTTCTAAGCCTATGCTAAGCAGGGGGCAAAGGCTAGGATAGGCGTGTGAGTAGAGGCATAGGCCTCTAGGACAAGGTTTAAGCATTAATAAACGCTCACTCAAGGTGGATTGGCGATTTCAATCTTATAATTTGGAATTATAAATAAGGCCAGGTTTCCTCACGACGTTTTTCTTAACCGTATACCATGGTGTCTAAATAATTTATCATAACTCGGAAAAAGTCACATTGGTACTCGCCAGGTTTCGAACCTGCACCCTCTTGCATGAGAAGCGGGCCGCCGACAAAATGAGTCACAATACAGGCTAAGACCTTTTACATTAACCTTTAATAAGTAACAGCAATTAATAATGATTCTGATTGTTTATAGTGAAAGTTATTATCAGTAGTTACTGAGACTCCCATAATAGCCCTTGACCTACTGACTGACCTTTACATAAGCTGCTTAAGAAGTACAAGTCTACTAATACTTCTAATTTTGTTTACAACAATATCACCTTTATTACAAACCTGTAACGTTGAAATTCTATTAAATATATGTATACATGATCCTACATAGACCGGGGTCTTGATGTTGATAATTTGATCCTGATATATTTTTATTACATTTGCAACCTTAAACGCATGTCATAAAGCTTCAAATTTCTAGTGTTTGAATTTGTAGTTTTAAAGTATGTATGGCTGCACGGTTGGTGCGGTGGCTGGGCAACTGGCTGCCGTGCATCGTGTCGCGGATTCGATTCCCGCACGAAACCACTCTTTATGTGATCCACAAATTGTTGTTCCGGGTCTGGGTGTCATGTCTGTTAATTGTATGTTTGTCACCCACGACACAGGAGAATCTAAGTGTGGGACAAAGATTTTTTTTAAATATAAAATTGTAATAATATGTTTATTCTTTCTCAAAGAATGACTACAAGGACATATACTTCGACGAGATCAGAACAGGGAAGGCAGGCACGGATATACAAGAAGGTAAATTGACTTGGATCGCAGCCACGGCTCTGCTTCGCTGCTCAGAAGCACAACGTCAAATCTTCGCTGAAAACTACGGCATCGACAATCCAGAAAACGTCCAACGTATTAGGAAATTATTTGCAGATCTAGATATTGAAAACGTATACAAAAAGCATGAGAAATCAGTATACGAAGATTTGGTCAGAAGAATTCGCGCTTTACCAACTAAAGGACAGACGCGTTTCTATTCTGAAGTTCTAGAAGCGTGTTGTAAACAGTTGTACTAATTTATATACTTATGTAATGGCTACTCTCGCGCGGTTTCACCCTCTGCTCGACTCCATTTAATCGTACCGTGATGTTTTATAGCATACAGCAATCAGGAACATTGTAACTACCTATTAGTGAAAGAATTTTGGCAATCCGACCAGCGGTTCCAAAGATTACCCCCTACATACAAACTTACAGACATACAATCTTACAACCTCTTTATAATATTAGTAAGATTTAGGAGCTGTGTAGTGTCGGCAGTGTATAAATATTTTTTTTACCACCCCTGCTCTTGAAGCCCGTATCTTAGGACCCGACGAGACGGAATCAGCTATCTCTGATACTTTTAAACTGCTACTTGTAATTCCAACAAGCGTGATCATGACAAACTCCTCCATTGTTGAGAAGCATTTAGCATTTTTGACGTGTAAGTGATGTTTTAAGGGCCCGTTTGTAAAATAAATTCGTTGTTTCATTAATACTAAGGACTGTCTGAAATAAAGTTTAATTTATTATCTATTAATTGGAGTTTCACTTGCTGTTAATTATGATTAGTTATATATTTACAGGTTTATAAATCCTTCTATACTAATCATATTTTTGACCACATTTCAGTGTAGGAGAGCCAAGCTTCGGCACGAATGGGTCGGCTCGACCGGAGTGATACCACGGCCTCACAGAATTACCGGCGTGAAACAACCACAACGTTGTGTTTCCCCGTGCGAGTGAGGTTACCGGAAGCCCAATCCCGCCCCTTCCCCTATTCCTTCCCGATCCTTATATCCGCAACCCCTATCCCCAAAAGGCCGGCAACGCACTGGTAACTTCTCTGGTTTTGCGGGTGTCCATGGGCGGCGCCGATTGCTTACCATCAGGTAATCCGTCTGCTTGTTTGCCGACATATACCATAAAAAATTTTGGCAATCCGACCAGCGGTTCCAAAGATTACCCACTACATATACAAACTTACAAATTTTATCTCTTTATTATATTAGTATATCATATAAGTTCCAAAATATGTTTTCATATAAATATATCAGGCTGTAATAATGATACTGATTTATAGGCCTGTAAGCAGGTCCGTACCTATGCCAGCGACCGCAACGGGTGCTAAAATGTACTTAACGCGAGACAATCGACAACTTTTTATTTTAAAAATGGAACCATTTTTATTTCACGCACTAACTTCAAATGTTGCTATGACATATACTTACTGTTATTTATTTGTTTTTCTAATAATGCGTACATTACGCATGTCATCTTTTTAATGTGAGTGATTAATCAATGATAAGTGACTGGTTGTACCTACGTAACGGTCGGTGTGTGCATCTCATTAAATAAGTACTTTTACAAAATTAAATGGGTTTTTCTCATATACGGACCTTGTTATAAATATTGTAAATAGTGTTGTGGTTTACTTGATTTGATTAACCCGTTGAATATCGGTTTATAAGACACAATAGAAAATACATTGTGTCTCGCGTGGATCCACGTTTATGACATACGAAAGGTTAATGCTCAAACCTTCCCCGTGTAAGAAGAGGCCTTTGCTCAGCAGTGGGCACTTTTAGGCTGATGATGATCGTGGTTTAATATAAATATATTTTGGAAATCTATACCTACTATTATTATAAACTGAATAGTATGTTTGACCGCTCTAATATACGGAATTACTGATTTGATTAGATTATTTTTTTTGTGTTGGCTAGTAAATTTGTCGAGAAAGACCACTGGCTATAAATAAATATTTAATTTAATGAGAACGACCAATAGTAGAACAAAAAATGAAGCCAAATAGCGAATGAAACTGCGCGGGAGTAGCTGATCATTCATAAATTGCTTTGGTCGTACAGTTAGTTTTTTATAATGAAAAAATATATAAAAAAAATCGTTAACTATTTAAAAAAAAATAACAAATAAATTAATAAAAATATTTGTATGTACTAGTATGAAGTGTGAGAAAATCAAATTTGACTCAATAGCTGCTGCCTATACCTGCTGGGCAATTTGAAGTAAATTTAACTGTGGGAGAGCCAGGGTAGTTTCAGGATCTTTTACATTTAAATTCAAATCAATCAATTGTCACTTACCTACAGTTTTTGCAGATTCCATATCTTATGTAACCATTGGTTTGTACTGAACCAATATTTATTTTGCGTACCGGCGCACTTACTAACTAAGACATAAGTAAATATACATCGCAATAAAAATCATACTGCATACTTTATTTAAATACATTTGGCTAAGATTTACATACAAATATATTATAAATATAATATTTAGATTATTTACATTTGAATGTGAGGAAAGATCATATAATGCGAGATGGAGGCATCACTCCCGCCCTATCTGCCGTATTTGCAACATGCAAAAGCAAAAACAACTAAAAGAAAAATAAAATTTAAAGGGTGTTAGACAGATTAATAGCATCGATAAATACTTTAAATAAATATTTACTTATATAAACCTTACGTCCACAGAAGTTAAACGGGACCCAAGGCACATTAAGCTTCTAGTTCGATGCCATAATAAACTGGTTTTAAACAGCTTAATGAGTACAGTTTAAAGTTGTTACAAATTCGTTTTATCAAGAAAACTATCACCATATTATCAACCAAGGATGGTCAATTATTGACTTAAGAGCACCAAATGTGTGGCCAGAAACAACGGCTTTTTATGGACAGTTGCAGAGACAACAAATATGTTGCTGACCGTACCTATATTTTGGGTTCAGTAACATTCCCAAAACATTGTGTTACGTGCCAATGGCATGCCATCCCTGTTTAACTCATTAAAATAAATAAATAATATCTAGACAAAGCATTTCAACTCTTATGTAATAAATATGGAATATTCTTTCTAAATAACTTAAACCGTCTAACACACGGTTTCCGAAAGGCCGATCAATGTTAAAATCAATTTAATCTCTTGTCAAATCATCTAATTGGTTGACTGAATTATCAACAACCAATCAGATGACTTGACAAGAGATCTAACAGGAGATTAGTCAATTTTAGCGTTGACAAGCCTTTCAGAAACCGGGTGTTAGCCGATTTTCAACTTTAAAACATTACAATAAAGTCGAAATTTAAGTTTGACTACTTAATTATATTTACATACATTGGCTTTTATACATAATAAATACTATGATATTTACAGAAATTATCTTTAACAACATTTTTTACAACTTTCTCATGTAAAATCATTGTTCTACCGGTATCACATTTGAATATTTACATCGTCTGATTAGACTACTAGTACCTACGCATATACTTAACATTATTAGCTATAAACGGTTAGACTGAGAGCCTCTTCCACCACCTTCATGTACGTGATAATGAAATATGATACCTATTACAAACAAAATACGTTCCATATTAGATGGTCCTTTTCATACTTATCTTTGGCGCTTCGTTTGAGGTGTTTAGGTCGAGTTTTTCTACTCGAGTTTTTACCAGAATGCCCAGTGTGAGTTTACTTTACGTTAGCGCAAATGACATGTTTATGATGTGAGAAAGTGTGGGAGAGCCATGATTCGGCACGTATGGGTCGGCTCGATGGAGTAATACCACGGCCTTACAGAAAACCGGCTTGAAACAACCACAGCGTTATATTTCGCCGTGTGAGTGAGGTTACGAGAGGCCCATACCTTCCCCTTCCCCAATTCCAAAATCTCCAAATCCCTAATCACGAAAAGGTCGGCAACGCACTAATAACTCCTCTTGTGGGTGTCCATGGGCGGCGCTGATTGCTGCAGCTTACTATCAGGTAATCAATTAGCGCGTTTGCCTTCCTATTACAAAAAAAATTCGTGCAGCACTTTGATTACCTTGCATCAATTTACCCAACCAATTAAGGTCCTACACGCGGTAAGGTTTTAAAAAATTACTCGCTGTATGCCCTCTGACAACAACATCGAACTAAGTTTTTTTTATATTTTTTTATTTAGGTTTACCAACAGTTGTTATAGATATAACAGGAACTTAAAATATTGTTGTCTTATATCCAACTTATATTACAGAGACAATAACAAGAATAATTATTATAAAACATATGTTAAACAGTAATTACCGTCTCTATACAGACAAAAGTTTCATTTCATTATCTGTACACCAAATAACTTGATTGAGTATATTATTTAAAATTTTTATATATTATATACAAGTCTAAGTATATACATTTCAAGTTTATGAACTAACATAAACCCTAAACAGTACATTTTTTTTAAATCATCAAATCTGTTCTCTCACTCTAAGTGGAGCGAGATGGAATATCAGACTCTTACTGACTAAAAACCATCCCGTGCCTTCGTCTCTTCCTGCTATAGGCCTTCTCCTCTTCCAGGCCAGGGCAGCGGTATAATAATGTGCTTAAATACCCAACCCTAACTGTCTTGCACATTCGGAACTGGTAACTTTCCAGTAAAACTGACGGATATAGGTTCTATTGCCCATTATATGTGGTTCAAAATTGATTGCGTTGGAAATATCCATTCCGTATCACTCACTTTATTAGTATTTCCACTACGAAACACTCACAGTTTGTCTATCATTGTATAAGCAACGGTCACCCCACTCTAAAGCGTTTGAGCAGGGTGTCGCTGCAGCCTTGCTCAGACTGCCGTCTCGTCCGCTGGAGCCTTCACCAGCGGCTCCGTGGGGCTCTTTACGGGGACCCGAATCACTTCCTCTTCCAACTTGGAGTCTATTGGCATGTTCTGTGAATAATTAATGAATGATAGAAGAGTTCGGAGTGATACGACGGCCTCACAGAATACCGGCGTGCAATAACTACAACGCAGAGGCCGAAGGCCCAATCCCTCCCCCTCCCCAATCCTTAAATATCCAAAACCCTTATCCTTAAAAGGCCGGCAACACACTCGTAACTCTTTGTGTTGCTGATTGGATTGCTTACCATAAGGGGACCTTCGATGTCCTACCTCGATGTAGCTGTAGACTTGTTTGCCGACTGATAAAAAAAAGAATGGAATATGTATGATGTTGGGTACAAAGCAGGACAATAAAAGCGGTACATGTCCGTCGAATGAAGTAAGCTGAACAAACCTCAAGCGCTGTGTAATGTTTATGTAATGCGGCGGGCAACTTATTGTGCCTGGGCAGGGCGGCGAGGGCGGAGGGCCGCAGGCGCGCCGCGTCCAGCAAGCGCGCGCGCCGCACCGGGGAGCCACGCCCCGACACCACCACGCATGTACCCACACTCTTCAACAAACGGGCTCTGAAGTCATACAACAACATCTGTCAGGTGGGGCAATAGTTGGGCAACTGTTGCGCGACTGTAGCGCTATTGTTGTGGGACTGTCACGCTGCAATCGCGCAATTGCGGAGCTGTGTGACGCCGGTACTTGCAGCTGAAATTATAAAAAGATTCAATTGGAAGCTGTAACTTACAGAGCTAATTTACATAATATTTAATTTTAATTACGTAGGTATTGACGCGAAAAATTATTATTTAATTAAATACTTTGGTAGGCTTGACGTTTGGTTGCACAGGTCGTGGTCTGACTCTAAATAATTATTTTTCGCATTAATACCCGCGAAATTATATGTTCTTAACATGAAACGCAAAGGTTTAAGTCATTATTTAGGTACTTATACTTTATACCTACTTATGACTTATGTAGCTGCTAATAAAAACGAAACCGTATCTATGCATTTTATATTTTGTAAAAAGACAAAATTGAACATGAAAGCACTTACGCATCAAGTAACTTCAAGAGCAGTCGACTATATGCTGTGTATTCATCTTCCCCGAACTCTCCTGGATGATGCCTGGCAAACTCGTAGGTATCACAGAACTGGTGCACCAGTTTTTGGCCACGCCCGTCCAGCGGGGCGGCTAGGGAGGACAGGAGGAAGGCTCTGAGAGACTCGCGAGGGTGCCGCCGCAGACCTGGGTCTTGACGAGCTATCTCTTCCTCTGAAACATTGTTATATTAATATTGATGATAAAGTAACTTGTATCTTATTGTTGTGATATTATGTTTTCATTTTCAGATTTTGAAAGACATTAATTGATGTAAATGATTATGGTAATGATATGTCATCAACAACAATACTTTGTGACAGTTTAGAGAGGGCCTAGTGTGGTTTGCTTAATGTTAATGTGACACATTCATTAGTTTAATTATTATTTATTTCTGCAGACCTGCGACCGCAATTGAATAAACAATATAGTGTGTAATAAAAATTTTTGAGATAAACATATTCTTACATAAACACAGTAAAGTAAGATTAAGGGCCTCATAGACAAACAACGGCATTGATTGAGATAAGATTGAGCTTACCAGAGGCTCAATCCTTCCCTCTTTGTATCACTGTTCAATCCCTAAAACTTTACAACAGTAACTCTCTAAAGGCCGGCAACACACTCATAATCCATCTTGAGTTGTGGGTCTCCATGACTAGTTGCTTTAACTGCATAAAAAATGTAGTTTACAATAATGCAGTGAGTGGCTGTGTTGTAGGTGTTAATAAATGCACTTGACCCTGGTATTGTAATCAAAACAGACAACAAGGAGACATGGTTAGCAGTGAAGAATAAAACTCACTCACATAAGAAACCTTTTAATAAGGGTGATGAATGGGTATGAAACTTAATAATCCAATTAGTTTGTCGTTTATACAATGAAAAATATCAGATCATATTTAACTTTATGTGTGGGAGATGAATATCCTATTGCTCATTAGATAATGTACTAAATAGTGAGATCATCATCATATCAGCCACAGGACATCCACTGCTGAACACAGGCCTCCCCTATTGACTTCCAGATTCATATTACAGTGAGATCATGCGATATTTCAAATCAGTAGAAGTATACCAACTTAGAAAAAATTTATTCAATAAGAAAAGAATAAAAATAATTGTTTATTTATGCACTTTAAATAGTTTAGTCATTACTCTTATGAGATAACATAGAGACCTACTTCCTCTCTCCCAAAATGAAAGCATTGTTAAATGTGATATCCTTCCATGGTAGGGATGCAGAACAAACAGAAGAATCACTTGAATATTGAGCAATTGGTGTTGGTCATGGACCCTGAAAATACTAGAGGAGTGCTGCCACTATTATATTTATGAACATGATACCTTTTTGCAAGATGTTCATATTATGTTTTGTGGTTTTATCTCAGATATGACAACCCCATCATGTGTCATAACTTTTTATAAAATACAGACATCATTATATAGTAAACACTGACTTACCAAGAGTTTTCACATCATCAACAGCTCGGAACCTGTAGTGGTATGGCTGCTGTGGTTCCAGGATGTAGTGCGAAGGCTCCGTGCTCAAAAGCCTAGGCTCATGCATGATGCGGGGCACTGCCTCAATACGACGCTCCAGCTCTTTCTTTAGGCACTGGAAAAAAGGATGTAAATATGAAAGAGCAACAGATTACACCAAAATTAGAGTTGATAGATTATTAGTTTTTTCGATGTATACTCTGAATCTACACCTAATGCTTGCAGATCGAAGAAATTACAATGTTATAAATGACAACAAATATGCATTTTAACCACAGCGGATGAAAATGTTGCTTGAAATTCAGATCTGCAGTGACAATAAGAATCTAGGCATAATCTACTTACTTTCTTTGCATCAGTTCCTATTGGAACGTGAGGGCCTCTCCTGGACCTCAGGGCAAACCTTGTAATCTGTCTCTTAGCAAAAATGAACAAAATCACGAAAGTCAACACACCACCACTTATAATAAATATAATGTTTAATATACTCGTAAAATCTTGCATGTTTACTGCTTAAAACTTTATATCTTGTTGAAAAAATATTTAGAGGAATAAGAATACATCGATACACCCGTAGCTTTGTTTTTAGTGTTAAGGATATATATTTTGAACATGGATAAATCTGCTTTATCAGATTGTTAATGTGAAAGAAAGAGATAAAAGGTAATATGCATGCTAACAAAATGACGCATCATGGGCTGCGAGGTAATGAAACGTGACGATGACAACTTAAAGGTTTTGACATATTAGACTTTTGACATTGGTCCAAACGTTCAGGAATTAATTCACAGAATTTCATTCTATAATTGCTAATAGTTCGTATCTCAACGAATATTGAATACTTTTGAACTTTACGAAATAAAAGTAAATGACGAAACTGAGAATAATCCTAAATAATAGTGTAAACGGCTACGAAACATGATTATTTTATTGGTTTTTTATGATCCGATTTACGATCTTAGCTGTTTATACTACAAATTGCTTATTTATTGTTAATTTACGTAAAATGCGCTTATGTGCTTGCCACCGTGAGTTGAAGATTAAAAGACGAATGTATTGAATACGTTGAAATTTATGTAGGTATGTTACCAAGAGGTCTTGCAGTAAACCCGATCAGGTATTTGTCGTCATACCTAGAAACGCTTATTGTTTATTCATCGTTTATCATACGCTGTCGCGTACACAAAACGAACACAAATTCCTTCATCATGATTCTTTCTATTGAGGAGTTGGGCGCGGCACGAATGTCTTTGGCGGGAAACGCGGTTCGCATACTAATATAAAAATGGCGGCGACGTGCGATGACCAATAGACGTTGTTCAATTATGGAAAACGAATGTCGATTGTCAATCGACTGCCCTCTGTGGCTACAATGGGTTTCTGTACAAATTTGGTGTCGTTATATTCCTTGCTATGCAATTTCGATTCAACACACATGGTTACATTACTTTAATAGGTACGCTCATAGAAATATTGTCTTCCTTCCATCGTTAATGTGTAATGGAAATATCGTGATTGTCTGCTTGATAGCTAAAATTAACCTGAATAAGGCGGAGGCCCTTCGTTAATATTATTCTGAATGTGTATTGAAGTCGGTAGAAGCAATAAATCCGGCAATAAATACTTAGGCGTTTAGAACACAAATATATGAACGTTTTGTAGTCTTGAACTAAAATTGTTACCTACGCATAGGTACCTACTTAATATGCAATCACTAAAGAAGCAAAGTCAAAGTCATATGCATGATAGGCACAACGAATGGGGTATCGGTTGCTTGAAATATTCCTTTTAGTTGGATTTCATAGAACCGATCTTTGGCATGAATGGGTCGACTCGACCGGAGTGAGACTACGACCTCATAGAGACAGGAGGCCCAATCCTTCCCCTCCCTTCATCTTTCCCCAATCCTTTAGCATCTGAAACCCTTATCTCCAAAAGGTAGGCAGCGCACTAATACATGGGCGGTTCTATGGCTTATTATCAGGTAAATCTTCGGTTCATTTGCCGCCCTATCTCATAAAATAAAAATTAAAGCCTTAGATTAGGTCACAAGACATAAAAAAATATTTTTTTTGCTAAGAATTGTTTCGAAACTTTAAAACCTAAATTCTGAGCACGCTCTACCTGCAGTCGTGACCTTACACTTAACAGTAGACCCATCCCGCTGACGAGAGACAGCTAAAATCTCCGACCTTGAAGAAAAGTTTAATGTTACCAAGCAGATCAATATATCGCATAATACCCAATGCAGTTGTGTAGATAGGTTAAAGTTTAAACTATATCCGTATATATTATTGTGTCGAGTCGCACCAGAAGAAGGTATGGTGTGCTGCGTCTAGTCGCGTGCCGACAAATGTATGAAACCGGAGCGTTCTGTTTCGCCACAAGACGCCACGCTACAGAATTATGTCCACAACCTTATTTATTATACTAACTACTCGCCCGGTTTCACCCGCTGCTTTGCTCCGTTTTATCTTAGCGTGATGTTTTATAGCCTATAGCACACAGGAACATTGCAGCTACCTATCAGTGAAAGAAATTTGGCAATCCGACCAGCGGTTCCAAAGATTACCCCCTACATACAAACTTACAAACTTACCTGGCTGGCTGGCCACATACAACAACGACTGTCTTCAGTCATAGATTTTTCTACAAAGACTTTCTATGTAAGTACTTAAAGCCTACCTGTTCCATTCCATTTGTGTCAGTATTAAGTTTCACTTTGAGTCATCTATTACAGCTGACAGATTACTTGATGGTAAGCATTGGGCACCACTCATGGACAACCCAGATGAAACGAAGTGCATTGCCGACATTACACTACTCTGTTCTCTTTCCTTAACTCGCCCGCCTAGCTATCTAACCTCTTTCTTTCAATACATGTGCGAAAACAACTGTAAATACTTCCTTCTCATAACCGTCTTCTCCAATGTCCTACTCATCGCACTGATTTCCTTCACTACTCCTTCTTTGTCCAGTCTGTTTTGCTGTGGAATGCGCTACATCGGATGTCAGGATGGTACCTATCTAGTAAGTATTGGGCCTCCGGTATTGGTCGTTTATTTATCGTTGTGTCAATGTAATATCAACGTCTCTATGACAATTTACAATTTAATAAAGCAGAGGATAATAATTTACACGGGTATTTAGGTAACACTTCAATGAGTGTGCGTATACGAGTATACACGGGTCTCAAATAATGTTACCTAATATGAATCTGTCTATAAATTTTTGCAACAAAGTGTTGCTTGTATCGCTTTGGGTGGTCGTGTCATCGTCGAAAGTTGAGTGTCAAGTTATAGTTTTATGAGAAATACGTGCAGGCAATAGTATGACGTCATTGTTATAAAGTGACCAGCACCTGTTCCATTTTAAGTGTAGGGTGTGTGAGAGAGCCAAGCTATGGCTCGAAAGGGCCGGCTCGATCGGAGTGATACCACGGCCGTGAAACCGGTGTGAAACAACCACAGCGTTGTCTTTCGCCGTGTGAGTGAGGTAACCGGGGCCCAATTCTCCTCCCCATCTCCCTCAATGCTTTAAAAACACTTAACTTCCCTACAACCCTTCCCCATCCCTTAATCTCTGAACCCCTAATTCCCAAACGGCCGGCAAAGCAATGGTAACTCCAGGACAACGTGTTGAGAGTGTCCATGGACGGCGCTGATTGTTTACCATCAGATAGATATATGGTATATATACATATATAGGCATATCCATAAGGCTGCTGCAAGTTTTTTTTTGTGAGGGGAAAATCATCAAATGACTTCTCCCGCCCAGGGCCGGGCGGGAGGGAGTGTCAGACTCTTACTGACTAAAAACCCCCCTGTTCTTTCTCCTGCTCTGGGCCGAGGTCGCGGTGCCTCATTGCGGTTACCCCGCAACCCCGGCTGAATCAATAAAGACAGTTGTACTCTTACCTTTATTCTGTGAGGATAGGCAGAAGTTGTGGACGACTTATTAGACCTACGACCCTTTCTTACGTAGGCACATTTGGTGCGCTTAATATATTTAAACCTTTATTTACTTTATACTTCACAATAGATTGACATTCTACCTACTTGTGTTAGTAGGATAGGCTTATCGGGGTAGGTTACACAGACGTGTACAATGTGTACCTATATGACACAGTTGAAGGTACCGTGTACTAACGGCTTAATAAGTTCACTAACTTGGTGAAGATAAGGATTCAAATGTTTTTCGTTTACGATTTAGGGCTCATCATTACGAGTGTGGCTAGAAACTAGTCGAAGGTTTTTTTTTTAATGTAATACGTCGGCAAACGAGCATACGGATTACCTGATGGTAAGCAATCAGCGCCGCTCATGGACACCCACAACGGAGGAGTTACGAGTGCGTTGCCGACCTTTTAGGGATTAGGGATTTGGAGATTTAAGAACTGGGGAGGGATTAGGGAAGGGGAAGGATTGGGCCTCCGGTAACCTCACTCACACGGCGAAACACAACACTGGTTGTTTCACGCCGGTTTTCTGTGAGGCCGTGGTATCACTCCGGTCGAGCCGACCCATTCGTGCCGAAGCATGGCTCTCCCACACTTAAAATGTTTACGTGCGTAAACTGTTGAACTAATATCTAAGTTTAAAATGTCGGCAAAAATGTTGGATAAATGTAAGTACAGTATCATAGTTACAATAGTTTATAATGTAAGTACTTACAGGTAATTACTGAAAAAGTTCTCATTATGAATATGATCAAATACAGTTATTTACTTTCATTGGCACAAAGAAGTTCAGACAACAGGTGGAAGCGTTATGTTATGGAAAGGAATTGAATAATAAATAAAATAACACTTTCTTAAATTCACGAAGGAGAGTGCTCTGAATGAAAATGCTACGTTTCTGTTTTCGTAACGATGGCAACGCAACAACTGTAGCTGTGTGTTCTTTAGCTCACGTGGGGTGGATTTTTTAATGAAAACATACAGAATAACCGTTTATTGAGGGACCGAAGATACAGAATCGACTTACGGCATGATGGAATTTGAAATTTTACGCGAGAAAAAGCTTTCAGCAAGAGTTCCGGGTGAAAGAACACTAATGGTCCGTGGCCCTGGTTTTTTCGCCCCACTAAGATTGGAACCTGGAACCAGGCTGGAAAAGACATTCGATAAACAATATCCCCCTCAAAAAAAGAACTATGCTTCAAGTTCGAATGACCTTTTAAACAGAGTGAAACTCACCAGAAACCACCGCAAAACAACGATTTTATTGTATTTCCTTGTACTTACATTAGGAAAAACAATACATAAGAGATTATAGGAGGCCCAAGGTAGAAAAACTCACAGCAGAAAATTCGCCTTAAATTAAAAGCGAACCCGCTCAAAAAGCAGGCCCGTATGTCATATAGGTAGTAACACCAATGCGCATGAGCATTCAAATCGCGTCGCACAGCCACCACAATGGCGACGGCACGCGAAAATATGCGCACGCGACGAAGTTAGGGCATGATAATTTTACAGTGGCGAAATATTGTTTCGTAAAATACTTACGTTGAGACGTATGTAGATCTCTGTCTCAAGTATAATATTAATAGTTAGTACCTATGTATATAATGTTGCTTTATTGTAGCTTTCTAAGTAAAATTGCGGGATATACTTATCTGTTTTCCTGTTAACAAATTCTTGGAAATCGTTTATATTCGTATTTA